TCGCAACAGAGAAATATTAGTTTATCAGTTTTAATCTTAGCTGATCCAAGGTTCAAGAAAAATGCTTTTACGGATGAAGAAGCCTTTCAGGGGGGAGATTCTGTAACTAGTTAGCGACAAGTTACGGATCGATATCGCACTTGTTGACGTAAAAATATTTCATATCATACGTCAACAAAACCGATGCCGATTCGAAAATGTTCTCTGTATTATGGCCTCGAACCGACACATATACATATGTATTTCATTTGAATCCGTATTAAAAGCTCTATTGGCTCCTACATTCGGGTTTTTATAGAACCTGAACCGTTTTTTCCATATTTTTGGCCTATGTGCGCTTTTATTTGAAACCTAAATGTTTCGGTATCGAGTATCGAGAGTATTGGATACTTTTTAAATCGGTACCGAATATCGATCAATACTTAAAAGTATTGACTTAGGACATCACTGGAATTAGCTGATTCGCGTTATTTTTGTTTTTATCACTTAAATGCAAACTCTTGGAAATTGAATTTTTGCTTCACAAATTTGATCTTAAGAATATAAAATATTGAAAATACGTCACTATCCCTTAAAAGCACCAAGTAAATGCAGGCAACATGTAAACACATAACAGCTGATATGCACTTTTACGCTTTAACTATTTTTACACGGAGAAAAAGTCCGAGCTGTTTCGGACAGGAAGAAGAAGACACTTACGATCCAATACGTTCCAATTTTCGCTCTCTATTACCCATTTTGTTGAGTACGGGAATGATTTCTGGGCTATTTTGGGCACCCGCGGGATGCCGCATTGCGTACGGGAAAGAACCTATTAATTGTTGAACTTACTTTGTATGGAAGGAAATGCGCGAATAAAAAATTGCCAAAAATCAAGTCCAAGCTACTTCAAACTTGCACTTTGGTACACAAAAATTTAATGTGCTACAAAACTGCATACTCCAAAGAGTTCTAGAAAATCTGATTAAAATTTTGATCAACATTTGTTAAAATTCGTCGGATTTTTATAAACAGGGACAGTAATCATTATGAGTAAAATAACTTAAATCAGCATTTAACCGTTATTTTATGATTTTCACATTTTTCGCTTAAAAATAATAATTATTATTTGATTTTTATTTTCTCGATTACAAATAATGGTTATTTTATGATTTTTATTTTTTCCCTCAGAGATAATCATTATTTTTAAGTTTTTCATTATTTTATGATTTTTATATTTTTCGCTTAAAAATAATAATTATTATTATTTGATTTTTATTTGTTCGACTACAAATAATGATTATCTTATGATTTTTATTTTTTCCTCTACTCCTAAGTGAAAAAAACACAATAATAATTATTATCTTCGAGCGAAAAAATACAATTCGTAAAATAATCATTATTTGTGATCGAAAAAATAAAAATCGAGTAAAAATACTAGTTTCCTTTGTGTGAAAAAAATAAAACACAAATATTAATTATTATTTTTAATCTTGATTGATCAAACTCGAAAATTAAAAATCATTTTAAATCCCAGTACGAACACGTGAGTATAATTAAAATTATTTTACGACGATACAACTTGTTGATGTTTTTTTGGCTAAAATTTAAAGAATATTGATTATTTTCCGTCCCTGTTTATAAATGTTCTACAAAGTTTGCAATTTTGATTTACATGTTATTTTTGTTTGTTTCATACAAAACTGTATGAAAAGACTTATTTTAAAACTAAAATCGTATGTTCGGATTCGATGCTTTAAAAATGTCCCGATTTTTGGCCGCAGAAATCTGGTCACCGTAAATATACTAAGACATTTTTCTACGCTTTTGTAAAAAAAAGTAACGCAATTAGTGTATTGACTCATTTTATAAAGTGAGTTTATTTTTATCAATATGTAAGTTACAACTTAACTCTCAGTTTTGTTTTACTGAAAATCGAGTGTTAACTGCCGAAAAAACGGCTCTAATAGAACCAGACCGTAAATAAAAAATGAGCAGATTTTAAGGCAAGCGAAGTAGAGGAGTAAAGTCTGCACGCTGCTCTCCACGCATGGGAACGTAATTCGATATGCAAAAGAATGCTGCAAGTGCAACAGTTGCATGCAACATACTTAAAAGTACTTGAGTGGTTTACCGATCGGTGTGAGAAGACCCCAACACGCACACACACATGCGCACATGTACGCAGCTACATTTTCCAGAGAAGTGAATATTTTTGCCTTAATTTTTTTTCTTTTGCATATCCAATTACAAATAAAATAGAATCAAGTATTGTCGAAAAAATCAAACTGAAGATGCGTTTGCGCATTCAAAGTTGCGTTGTGATTTGCATCTTCCGGGTGTTTGAATGATTGCACGCGTATTTTTCTATGGGCTTACAGTATGCGTGTAGGTATGTTTCTTTTACTCTTAAATGGCGCTTCAGCTTTCCAAATGCGCTAAATAGCATTTGCTGCAAATGTTTTGCGTGTCGTCATTGCAAAAGTTGCAACAAATTTGCTAGACAGCAGTGCACTTAGGACAAGTGTTATTGGTAAATGGTAAACATTCAGTGATATGACAGCATTTTTTTTGTAGGTACGCGTGTGTATTCGTTTTTGACAGCGCTGATCATTTGCAGCTTGTAAAGTGGGTATTAGTTGTCAATGCACAACGGCTACATTTTGTCTTGACAACTTAGCAGCGCTTTACGCGGGCTGCCTTGCGACGATATCTTTCCTGCGCTGATTGTTTTCCAACTTCCCTCTTTTCTTTTTTCTTTGCCGCTTTAGAATTTATATGCTTTATAGCAGCTATTTCACATTTTCCTGAGAATTCTTCTGTGTGCTGCTCTGCATTTTATTTCAATCGTAATTTTTTTATGAACTACTTGGAATCCGTTTTGGCTTATTTTGCTTGGTCAAAACAAAACAAGAAAAAAACATTCAACAGGCATCAAAGACGATGTCCAAAAATTTCTAAACTAATTTCGAGGAAACTATTAGTGAGCCTCAAACCTGCAATTTCCGCTCGGATACATATGTATTTGCCCATTTTGAGAGTCCTTTGTAAGTGTCTTTTGAACTATTTGCTAACCAAGATAAATTTGAAGAGGTCCACTTGTTCTACTTGCGTTATTTCTGTGAGACCCGTGAAAAACTTTGCGCTGGATAGCTGGCTTGCCACAGAATTCCTTCACTTCAAGAATTCGTCAATATTTTCCTTGCAAAACTTCGGCCTTAAAGACCTTGAGACTTCATAGGTTCCGTTTGGGCCAATTGTTTGTTAATGGTATAATCGATAATTTTTCTCGGTAGATCACAAATCGGTGGCTGCAGGGATTTATCCACCACGCTTATTTTCACGTCCAAGCCGCGTATAGATAACTCAGCCATCGGCTTTTTCGTTTCTTCTAATTATCGATGGCCGCCGAACCAGAAAATTATGACTTTGACATGAACCAGCGACAAGCGACACTTCTAATTAATTCTCGAGTTTGTTATTTTGGATCATTGTGCTTTCGGTGTTGCTTGGCTGCCAAAGAAGACAATGAATCGTCTTTCCCCTAATGGTTTCTTACGGTTCTCTATTAGACAAGCTGTATTTTCGCCATCAGTAGAGATCTGCGCCGACTCTTTTTTCATCTGTGCACCATCGGTGTGAATGGTAGTGGCAAGCTTTTAAATCAGTAGCCTAATTTCCAAATCTTCTCTAGTTGGAAATCGTATAGGGACCTTGAAAATAAAGGCACAAAAGATCTAAGGAGTTCATTTTCTGCTGCAAGATCATATTCAGCGCTTCTTGAGGTGCGCTGCTCGCAGTGCGATGATTCATTTGCTGATTGTTACTTCTAATTAGTGCTGTCTAGTAGGCTTGATCTCGATCAGCTATGATCGACCGGGTAACTGTGGTAATTATACATAAATATCATGAATGGCGTAAGGTAACGATACCCAGTCTTTCCCCGAACATTTCATTGCAGGTATGGTATGTTAATAGATCTTTCTTTACCTTTTCCTCGACATTCAGCTTACTCTTATTTCTATAAACCTGGAGTTGAGACTAACACCCGAGTACATATTTCGCGGCAGATGAAGGTTGCGAGTTCCGTTTTCCGAAATTCCATCAGCTTTCTTATTCACATATCCTTGCGCTTATAATTGCGTTGATTTATCTGCTCTTGAGCTCTGAGCTGATGCCTCTGATTAAGTATAAACTGCTGGATGGCGTACTGCTCTCTAACGCCCTACCGAAGGCTTCTGTTTTTATGCTGTTGAAACCGCTGTCAAGTTATTTTCCAACGTTTTTAAAAGCTCTCTCTCTGGTTTTCCCTGGTATAAATCCACATATCATGCTTTGCAATTTCTGCTAAAGTAATTTTATGAGACGGTTATAGGCACAGGCTTGCCCGCAGGCAAAGCGCTTTTAAGCTTTCTATAAATTTTGTATAGGCGCGTGCAGAGTAAAAGCTCTCTCTGCCCATCGCTGTTTTAAGAATGTGAAATCAGGTATGCTTTCTTACTCACTTCAACGTTAATCATCCAGTAAAAAGTGGCATTATATACGATCCTTAGGTATTTTACATCCAAAAGGAGAGATAGGGAGAAGTGTATATGCCAAAACTTTTAATTTTCGAGGTACCTAAAGGCAACTTTGATTTCGGTGTTCGTAGAGGAGAAGGCTCCCAATATAGCCACCAGTATATTAACTGCATATGCAGCCACCTTTAGTAGTATTTTTTTGAGTTCGAATACAGGACTTTCCCTGAGAAGTACTTAACTTTACTTATTCGCATATCGCGTTCTTATGAGTATCACTTAATCGGAGAAGAGCTTGCTAGTAATTGTTAAAAACTTTGCATTCTTACATTGAAATTCTGGAATAACTGATCGGGGCTATCTGATGATTCTCAAACCTTTATACGAATATGGAATTTCCTACATTTTCTAGGGCATCACAATTAATTGCTAAATATTTATTTAACTATAATATTTTTATTACCATTCTAATTCAAACATATTTATTTTTCTTTTATTTTTCAGGCCCACTATCGAGTAAAGATTTCAACATCGATGGCCTAAATGGTTTTGGTGGTAAGAAAAAGAAGAAGAAACGTCGTCATAGTCGCACAATTTTCACATCATATCAATTGGAAAAACTCGAAGAGGCCTTCAAAGAAGCACACTATCCAGATGTGTATGCACGCGAAATGCTCTCGCTAAAAACCGAGTTACCTGAGGATCGGATACAGGTGAGTGAAATAGAAATTTTCTAACGCCAATTATTTAATAAAAAAATAATACTTACTAATTTTTGTGTACAAGCAGTTACAATGCAATTTTTTCAAGAAACTATTTAATTGCATGTTGTTGAATCCGATTAGGGAGTTACTTGCTTTGAAGATAAGCCTTTAAATTACAGGACAATTCTGGCAACTGTCTTTCAACTCACCACAAGACAATAGCCTTTCGTATGTAAGTCAATTGTCTATTCTGGCAACTATCTTGAAAGCCCTTTACCGTCTTTCGAAAGACTAATTGAAATAGCTGCCAACGTAGAGGTATTAGCGTTATGCTATTGAACTTTTAGCAATAAGTTTTTTTAAAAATTAAAATAAATTTAAAATATATATTTATTTGTTTTCTTTTCAAAAAACAATAAAAACTAATAAATAAAAGAAAATTAAAAAAATTAAAAAATAAGATAAAAATAAAGCAAAAAATAAATAAAAATATTTTTAAAAATTATATAAAAATAAATGTATTTATATTTTTTTTCTTTTTAAAACAATAAAATCCAAAATTGAATTGAAAAATAAAATAAATCAAAAAAGAGGAAAATGATACTTAAAAGTAAAAAAAAAATAAATATTAAATATTTAAATATTTCTATAACAAAATCTAAAAATGGAAAGAAAATTAAATTATAAGAAACAAAAAATAAAGTAAGATCTTAAAAATTAATTGAAAGAAAAACATATTTTTCTTTAAAAAAAATTTAAAAATTAAAAGAATGTGAAATTAACAACAGAAAAACAAATATAATTAAAAAAGGAAAAATTAAATAAAATTAAAAGAAAAATTATTTTTTGAACAACAAAATCTGAAAATTAAAAGCAAATAAAGCTAAAAAAAAATAAAAAAGATAAAATTAAGAAAAATAAATAAATTAAAGGAAAGTTTTTTTTCTAAAACTTTTGTGCTAGATTAACAAAAGTCTTTCGAACCAAGTATCTCTTTCATTTGTCTTGCGAAAGACTTTTTAAATTCACGTGTACTAATTTTACAATTCAGGCCTTTCTTTCTTCGATTCGCTAGGCATGTAACAATGCATTGAGGCCACTACCAGTTGCAACTAAGCATATTTTTTGAACGCTTTTCGTCAGGCTGTTCTATTCTGTATTCTAGGCAAGAGTATCTCAAAGTGAAGCATTCATTTTTTATTTCTTCAAACAAAAATACAAAACAATCAAGTAATTCGATACTTTTCTTTGAATACAGGCTTTAACTAATTTACTTTGAAGACAATAAAATTCCACGCGCAACGCCAAATTACATACAAACAAACATTGCTTATTTGAATATAGGTTTTTATAGTGAATTCTTATATGAATGTACACTCATAAGCACAAAAATTACGAGCATAGGCTTTTAAATCAGGCTTCTAAAAATCTACATGGAATTGCCTGCAGCTATGAACTAAATCCTTTTCGATTGCCTCATCCCATTGTCTACGCTCCGGCTTTATTCACACTCCACATACACATGTATAGTATGTATGTATTTGCAAAAAAAAAATTATAAATTTTTTCACACTTCCCTTCTGCGCTTAAAAGCATTGTTTTATTTATGCCTCAAATTATTTTTTGTCTCGGTTTTTTTTTCTCGTCCTTCTTTCTGTCAACAATCGCTCGAGCTCATTTTGAAATTTTGCTTGTTTGGATTTTTCTGCGCTGATCTTTCACACCTCTTCCACATCCTGTTGCCATTGCAAAAGTGCATTTGTACACATAAACGTGAATGTGTAGGTATATTTATATATAAAAAACATCTTTATATTTATTTCATAATTTGTTCGCATTTTTTCAACTGCCCCTTGACTGCATTCTCATTTACACACCCCAATTTAGTCGAATATTTGCATTTGTTGTGATATTACGTTCCTGCATTGGTTCTCTCGGTTGGCTCAATAAAAGTGTGTGGCCCTGTGAAATTTTCGTTGATAAAAATTCGATTTTAAAAGCCTGTAGTGATTTCGATATGTGAAAAATCGGGTTAGATAACTGCATAGATTTGGCGGATGTGTGTTATTTGTCTCCTCGAAAATTTCGAAACCTTAATCGAGTGTTCAAGCCATTAAAGCCGAGCCGCCTTTAACAGTTCCTAGATACTGTGGCATACATTCCGTTAAACGCCCTCTTGATTTTAAGTTTGCTACCTTCTCTCTCCATTCTCAATGGATTACTCACAACAAATTCTAACTCATATTGTTCGTCAAACTATCGGCAGTTTATATTGTAAGCAGCAATTTGTTTTCGTTGTTATAATATTTAAATCATTGTAAACCGGTACATATTCGTTTAAACGCACCTGAATAAGGAAGTCCAAAGCATTTTAGTGATTAAAAAATCAAATCGTTTTTTGCATTTACCATTGGTAAGTTAAGTGCTTTTTACGGATTTGTTAAAACGCGAAAAGTTAGTTCCATTAATAAAATCCTGTTTCCACGACTCGGCACCAAAAAAAAAAAAAAGGTTCCGTACGTCAAGCGGATGGCGCCCCTCATGTCGGTTGGGCGGGAATGGAGGAATAAGTAAAATGGTGTAACAAAGGATTTTTTAGCAAGAAACTTTCGTTAAAACTGACTAAAATGAATAAAATAAAGTAAGCTAAGATTTTTTATTGACTTTAACGAAATCTTAGGTTATTTTATTTTATTCATTTTAGTGCAGTTTTGAGAAACGTTTCTTGCTACAAAATCCTTTATTACACCATTTTTTTTATTCCTTTGATTGTACCTGGTAAATAAAAGCTTGTTTTTAAAAATGATTTTTTTTACATTATTTTATTTTGAACTTTTTAGTTTAATTTTATATAATCCGGACATAGTATTTTTATTTAGGGCTCACTCCTAATTTATGAGCAAAGTACATTTAATATAAGCGACGTAAATCTTTTCGATCATCCGTTCAGAAAAAAAGTATAGATAATACGAAAATCGGAAAAAAATTTCGTTAAATAATAATATAACCCGAGATATAAAATAGGCGGCCGCTGTGGTGTAGTAGTTGACAGTGCGCGCTGCCACTCCGCAGGGCCTGGGTTCAAGCCCTGGTCAATGCGACATACATTGCAAACAAAAAATATAGAAAAAGATTTTTTCTTAACAGCGGTCGCCCCTCGGCATTCAATGGCAAACCTCCGCGTGCATTTCAGCCATGAAAAACGGCTTCCCATAAAAATACAATCGCCGTTCGGAGTCGGCGTAAAACTGTAGGTCCCTCCGCTTTGTGTGACTACATCAAGGCGCACGCTACAAATTGGAGGATAAGTTCGGCAAAACACTAACATATGTATGTGTACGCGACAATCTCTTCTCTTCTTCCTTTTCTTATTTGGCGCTGTAACCGCCTAAGCGATTTTGGCCGAGTTCAGCGAAGCACGCCCGTCGTTTCTCTTCTGTGCCAACTGACGCCAATTGGAAACGCCAAGTGAAGCTAAGTCCTTCTCCACCTGATCTTTCCATCGCAGTGGGGGCCTTCCTCTTCCTCTGCTACCACCAGCGGGTTCCGAGTTGAATACTTTCACAGCTGGAGCGTCGCTGTCCATTCGAACGACGTGGCCAAGCCACCCGCTGTATTTTAAGGAGCCGCTGTATTTTAATTCGCTGCATTATGTCCATGTCGTTGTAAAGCTCATACCGCTCATCGTTCCATCGTCTGCGGTACTCGCCGTCGCCAACGCGTAATGGCCCGTAAATTTTCCGCAACATCTTTCTCTCGAACACTCAAAGAGCCGCCTCATCGGATGTTGTCATTGACCATGCCTCCGCGCCACACACCAGCCCAGGCATGATGAGTGACTTATAGAGCGTGGTTTTCGTACGACGAGAGAGGACTTTACTCCTGAATTGCCTACTCAGTCCAAAGTAGCACTTGTTGGCAAGAGTGATTCTACGTTGGATTTCAATGCTGACATTATTATCGGTGTTAATGCNACTTTACTTCTCAATTGCCTACTCAGCCCAAAGTAGCACTTGTTGGCAAGAGTGATTCTGCGTTGGATTTCAACGCTGACATTATTATCGGTGTTAATGCTGGTTCCCAACTAAATGAAATTCTCTACTTTCTCGAAAATGTAACTGTCAACATTGACGTGGGTGCCAAGGCGCGACTGTGCTGACTGTTTGTTTGATGACAGGAGATGCTTCGTCTTGTCCTCGTTTACCACCAGATCCATTCGCTTTGCTTCCCTATCCAACTTGGACAAGGCAGAACAGACTTCGCGGTTTTTTTTACCGATGATGTCGATGTCGTCGGCATAAGCCAGAAATTGCACGCTCCTGTAGTAAATTGTTCCTCAGCGGTTCAGTTCTGCAGCTCTTATTATTTTCTCCGACATCAGAAAGATAGTCGCCCTGTCTGAAACCACGTGTACGCGACAATCTAGTATTATTATGTTTAAAAGTTCCAAAAAGTATAAGACGAAGAATATCAAGAAATCCTTATAAAAAGAGCATAAGCGGCCCCTGAAAAATTCGGAATATCCCCAAAATGTAACATCAAAATAGTTACGAAAATAACTCAAAAATTCGTATAAAAACAGTATATAAATAAAAAGTACAAAAAAAAATAAAAAAATTGGACCTGAATAACGAGAAGTTCTGAAAAGTACCGGAAAAATTGCGAAAAAGCGCGTGAAATAAACTCGACAATACTGACAAGATCCTGAGGGATAAAATACGAAAAACCAGAAAAAAATTCGAAAAACAAACTCGGAAAAACTGGTAATAACCCATGTTATAAAATACGAAATATACCAAAAACTCCTATACCATGAAGAAAAGCCTAAACATCAAAACAGTTCCTAAAAATCCGACAAGCACATACATTTATGAGACATTTATAGAAAGCAAGGATCAGATTAAAAACAAATAAATTGGATCAGAAAACTTCCCAAAAATCCGAAAAATTCTGAAAAGTTGCGGAAAAATTACGAAAACCCCGAAAAGCAAACTCGACAATGCTGACAA